AAGAAAAAAAAAAAAAAAGAAAGAAAGAGAGAGAGAGAGAGAGAGAGAGAGAGAGAGAGAGGGGGAGGGAGGGAGGGAGGGAGGCCCTTCACTGGGATAGGAAAGGCCTTCTCTCCTACCATAAACAGTTGGGCAACTGAATTGTTGCCAACTGGTGGGCTTCCCTGCCTCCAGTCTAAATTAATGGATAAATACTTCAGTTCAGGACATTTCAGATCCCCTTTTGTGGTCTCTTACTCTGGGAAGAAAAACACAGGGAGGAGAGAGAAAGAGGACAAAAGAAGCAAAGGGAGTCCCACAGCAGCCATTTTGTGGTCGTATGCAAGGCACATGATTAAAAAGAAAAATCTGTCAAATGTATCTTTGGGACTAAAATGGTTCCAGACCTCTACAAATCTAAAGAACTATCTAAATGATAATGATTACTTTAAATGTCTTTCTACTGAACCATCTCTTGTTTTTAATAGGCAGCTATCATGCTCATCAGTATTAGAAAGTTTCAAGCTCTCTGTATATCCCATGTAGCATTTTTAATAATGTATAACTTTTTCCTTGAAATTATACAAAACAGAAATATCTGATTATTCTTCTCTTCATTCTGCTTTATCTCTAATTATACTGTTTCCAAAAAAGTGCAAGAAATAAGCTAAACTAAAATTATTTTATCTTTACTTCTGTTTTTCTCTTTTCTTTGCCTTCTTCCTCTTTGCCTTTCTGTCCATAGTATTCAATCCACTATCTTACTATATCTATTGGGACCTTGTAAGGCTCCCTTGGATACAGCACCACCTAGGGTAGAATGAATGAATGAATGAATGAATGAATGAATGAATGAATGAATGAATGAATGAACACACACACACACACACACACAGAGTATGAAGTGCCTATTTCCACATGGCACTGAAGTGATCCAACAAATATACAGAAATCCTTAAAACGTTAGTTTACAATGTTTTTGTTGTTGTTGTTAAAAATTAGAAGTGAATTGCTTCCCAAGAATATGCTGTATTAATAATTTGTATAGCAATCAGTTCTCACCATTACTTCTACATAAAAATTTGCACATAAATAACAGGGAGAAAATTCCAATTTATTCACAAACTATGCAAATTATATCATCTGAAGCAATGCTGTATCTATAGATTTAAAATGTTATGCAGGAATAATTTACATCTAATGTATTCATTGAAAACGCATTCAGATTTTAATTGTATTATCAGGTTGCTCTATTTGTTTATTTTTTTCTTCTTATCTCCTTCAGAATGTGTTGTTTTTTTGTTTGTTTGTTTTGATATCTCAATTATATTTCAATTTACTTCTTGTCCCCTGCCTTGAGAACTGATACCCTGAGAAGACCATAAATTGCCTTTTAAAATATATTTAATACATTTTAATAAAATATTGTCTTATATATAGGAGAAACCCAGCTTTATATTATTTCTACTGAATTGCAATTAATTTAAACAAGCTTAAAATCCATTATCTAAAAAGCCTAAAGAGTGAAAGAGAAATAATAGCTGATAGGTATTTTAGCTCATATGTTTATTAAATCTCAGTTCAGAGGCTTTTCCTCATACTTCCTGAATCTAGCAAGATAATCTGAAATGAAATACAGTGGAACCTCGGTTCACGAACTTAATTCGTTCCGCGACTCTGGTCGCGACCCGAATTGGTCGCGACCTGAAGCAAATTGTCCCATAAGGTTCAATGTAATTACTGTTAATCTGTTCTGGTGTGGAGGACAGGGAGGCAGCTATTGCTTGGAGGGAGAGTCCCCCTCCTACGACCACGTGTCAGGGGCGGAAAATGGCCGCGGACTACGTGTCAGGGGCGGAAAAATGGCCGTGGACCACGTGTCAGGGGCGGAAAAATGGCCGTGGACCACGTGTCAGGGGTGGAAAATGGCCACGGACCATGTGTCAGGGGGGGAAAATGGCCGCCGACCACGTGTCACGGGTGGGAAAATGGCCGCGGATCCTGTTCGTGACCCGAGGCGGAGTTCGCGAACCGAAGCAAAATTTTGCGGCCGGAGCTGGTCGTCACCCGAAAAGTTCATGAACAGAAGCGTTCGTAACCCGAGGTTCCATTGTATTTTTAAATTTTGAAGGAGCAAATAACCTCTTGATGATTTGCCTAGAACTATTCAGCAGGTTTCCAAGAGACTTTTCAACAGAAGATTTTTTTTTATGTCAATTAATATGAAGCTGGGGAAAAACAACAGATGCTCTAAAAATTGTAAATGCAGTATACTTCTCCCCAAATCTGAAGGAAAAAAAGATTTTTGAAACTGTGACAATTAACATGTATCTGAAGAAAATATTCCTGGCCTGAAAGACTGTGCCTGTGGAAAGAATTGGACAGAGTCAAGGATGAACTGATACCATCAGTGGAAACCACTGCAGTGACAACTCTTCCTCCAAAAGAACATTTTTCTGGGAATTCCAGTTCCCAGAAAATTTTCAATATCCACAGATATTGAGTAGACAAGTAGCCCAATGCCCCCGCCCCCCAGTTCTCAAGCACATGCTCTGGGAAATCCAGCCTCACTTTCTGTCCACAAGGTTGTCAATTATCTAAAAGGCTGTCATATGCAAGCAGGAGCTTTCTCTACTGAAAGTGAGGGCATGACAATGGGCAGAAATTAAAGGAAAGGAGATTCAGAGTGAATATTAAGAGGAACTTCTTGATGGTAAGAGCAGTTGAGTATTTGAACATTCATGGACTCCCATCCTCTAAGGGCTTACAAACTGAGTTTGGATGGCCACCTGTCAGGCATGATTTAATGGATTCCTGCATGGAGCAGGGATTAGATTAAGATGATCTTTGAGATTTCTTCGACTTCATATATTTTATGATTACAAAATATGCAATATTCTCCTTTCCAAATCTTAAATAAATATTAAATACTCATCACATTATTCCCTTGCAGAGTAAGCAACGTGATACAAAGTGCAGAAGGAATAAGAAACTGTACCCCAGAAGAAGACATGATATTATGAAAAACGACTTCCGTTGGTTTCAGATGTCATGCCAAGTTGCAGTTACCA